GTTATTCCTCCTAAAAGCAATAATAATTTTCATGGAATTAAATACCCAAAATGGTCATGTGTAAACCCAACATACAAAGTTTCTACAAATTTGCTGCAATACATGGCATGGAACATAGAACATACCAACCTATTGTGAAAATAAACTTTTGATACTTTCATTATAGAAGTAATACTACATGGGCTGACTACAAAAGCCTGATTTCTGGGAATCATCCAACACAAAAGATCATCTTCACAGCCATGTTAGCCAAACACCTGAAATGTACTTTTCCACTTATTCTTGCTATTGGAAAATAAACTAGTACACTCCATAAAGTACTGCATAACACACAGAGGTAATGCAACTTGAGGGTAACTGTTTCACAGCAACTCCCACAGAGCAATTCCTGTAGCTTTACCACATAAATTAGCCTTTACTAGCATGCAACATGAAAAACAACCTCAATGCTTCAAAATTGAGATATTATGGAATTTTGCCAGCTAGAATTAGTGCATATATATTATATTTAACCATATCCTTTTCTTTTACTAAAGCAAGTCAGTAACAGTTTTGCACATAACAGTTTAACAAAAGGAAGGTGTTGCCAACATTTAAAATTAACTTGTAGTTACCCTACTTCCTGCTGCTGTTCTGATTATACTCAAGAATTCATACAAATTCTCCAGTGATAGGAATTAAGTTTACCTTCCAAACTTAGCCAAACAAGTCATTAAACGCAAGTGCTTCTAGGTAGAGCACATGACCTTCAACGCAAAACTTAAAATGCAATGCACTTCAGTCAAATATCACCTGCAATATTATGCCAATAAATATTCTCCCATGTCCCAAGGAGGAAAGTTTACAGTGAAAATTCCTGTGGAGCAGTAATGAAACCCAACAGTTTTCTGTAGCAACAGAAAACTTTGAGCTGTGCCAAGTTGTAACTGTCTTTCAGAACTTCTTTTAAATGAGAATTATTTATGTAAAGGATATACACAAACATACAAAATAGTCTGACGGCTCTTTTTGTGCAGCTTTGCCACTTCTAAACATTCAGAGGAAAATGTAACAATTCCAGCCTTTCCAATTGCAATCATTTTAGTCTACTTCAACAACCAGAAAGGGATTTTGCTGTTGAGTGGCAGAGCTGGTCTACCACTTTAAGTAGAAGCGTATTAGATGTCCATAACCCATATGGACAAACCCAGTTTTACAGAAATAGTGTGTGTTATGAACCACAATGAAGCGTTCTTTGTTTAAGGGTTTTAAAGTAGGTATAAGAGCATTCTTTGCTAAGCAGTAAGCTTTGACTTGTGGGAATAGTCAGCAAGGTAGCTCTGCCTTTTAATATTCAAGTGACACCGATATGCATGTATTTATCATCTATTGGTATACTCTACCAGCAGGTTCCTGAAGTTTGACAACAACTCAAACAGTAGTCACAACTCACCTGAGGACTTAAATCATCCCCCAGCTGTCCACAGCACATAGTTTTGTCAGAACACCTGCATCCCTGCAGCAAGCCCTGTAAGTGCCCAGCAGGGCTGAGCTTTTCCCAGTTCACTGGCCCCCCTCCTCATCTCCCCATGTGTGATGCCAACAGGCCTACAAAACCAAGGATCAATCCATTTTCTTAAAAAAATCCACTGCATCTGTTTCTGAGAAGACAGTCTCTAGTGGCTTAAGCTAAAATATCCATTAACTAAACCATAAAAATATAAAATTAAAATGACCTTGCACATTTACACTGAGTGACAGACTCAAAGGCACCAAAGTTACTATGGTTCACAGAAAGGCTAGGTATTTTTGAGTTACAGCAAGCCTCTTCCAGAGCAGAGAGAGGACACTGTGGCCTGGGGTCCCTGAGGGGGAGCAGGTCCTGAAGGAAGCACAGATCCCTGAGGAGTTCTCCCATGAACCACACTCTTGCTCCTATGCCACATCAACAGCATCTAGAGCTGACATTTACCATTATACCTAAATTAGTGCACTACACAATTAAGCCTCGCTTTTAGGAAGGGATAGTCTTAAGTCTCTTCCAGAGTACTCTGTCTCCCCTTTAATTTGGAGAGATGGAATGATTTCCAGCAGCACTGCTGCAATCACACACCTGCAGCAGCCTTCCAGGGAGCAGTGAGAGGCAGGACCTGCAGGTCCAGGGGCCGGCTGCAGTGCTGAAAGGCACTAATCCTGCCTCTTGCCTCCAGTAAAACTGTGCCCACAGGAGAAACATTCCCACAGCTGCTCACCACCAAACACCCTCCCCCTCCCAAAGACCCTCCTTTTTCTGGGGTTTAACAGCCTTTCCCTGGAGCTCAGTGCCCAGCAGGAGGGATGGGGAGAGCAGGCCGGCTGGCTGCCGGGGGTCTTGGCCTGCAGGAGGCAGAGAAGGGAGCTCACCACAGCCAGAGGCACACGGGGAAGGGGCTGCCTTGTCACAGGCATCAGCCACAGCAGCAGCAGCATTGTTCACACGGTGACAGGAAGGAAAGAACTAGACTGGACCAGTCCAGACTGGAACAAACCCCTCCTACCATCACCATTATTCACAACACCCACCTCCCCCCCAGCACCACTGCCTCCCACGTTTATCCAAGGAAGAATAATGGGCAAGTGCAGTGTCTTTAGAGACAAAAATCCAGCAGCTGGGGAGGGCAGAAGAAGTAGGGCAGAACTACCCCCCAACCCTCTCGCACACAAGAGACTCGATCACGCATCTGACTAGATGGTAGGCATTTCTACGCTGTTTTATTGGCCTTCACACCGTGTTTTTATTCAGGGCGGCTATAACCGACTGGGACTACACAATTGTATCCTGGTTAGTCACTGGAGACTGCTGCACATTTCTGAAACGCAGTGCTTCTCGTGCCTACAGGCACTAGGCAGCTGTGCAGGATTTTTTACTGCAGGAGATGCACTTCAGAAAGGCTCAAAAGGTTTAAGCTCACTTTCTTCCCACTTCATCACAACCAGGTAACCTCCAGCACACAGAGGCATATTCATGGGCTCAGACTGATGACTGGAAAAGATCTGCAGTGCTGTCCAGTACTCAGCCATAACAGCATCCTCTTCAGCCGCACCACGATCCTGCACTTGCACTGTCCCACTTGTGCACACATGAGCCCGCTTGCTCACCGTGCCTTCAGCTCCCCTACCATCAGGAACAGATACCTCTACTGATCTCTCACCACTACAACTCTGCTGACCTCCTACCAAACGGGGAACGGCACTGCAGCCAACACACACACTCCAGATACCCCAACATTCGGCTGCACACACTTTACACACACAAATTCAGCTGGCAGCTGAGCAGGAACCAGAATCTCTTCCCCAGGCTTTCCAAAATCCACTAGCACACCAGCGGCCCAAGAAGGTTGAGCTCAACCAAGAGACCTCCAAAAGGACCAGGGGCACCAATCCTGCTACTGCTACACTAAGGGTCTGACCAAGGGGAAGGGTTCAGGGTGCACCTGTGAGATGACCAGAGAGCGTCTCCCCGGGCAGAGGGAGGGGACTGCTAACGGGAGGGAAGGGCTCCCTTCCCACATGCCGGTGACCCCACGGCCCTTCTGCGTGAAGGCAGTCCCGGAAAGCGTCACTTGTGCAATGCCCTGCGCTCGTGCGTTGCGCTGACAGCCGGCGCTGCCACGCTGCTGCTCGGCGCGGCCCTTGCTGACCACGCCGAGGGGGACAGGCGAGGAGGCCTCGGGCAGGCGCAGCTCAGGTGAGGGGGGAAAAGTGGAGCACGGCAGCAGGAGCCCGGATGGATAATCACGCTCACAGAAGCACAACATGGCCCCTGAGAAGAAGGCGAGGAGACGCCGCGGCCATGCCACCAGCGCTTCTGCCTCTGCTCCCATCAGGCTGCCCAGCGCTGAAACCTGTCACACACGGCTGGCCCCGGGGGAGCTCACGCGTGTGGGTCACACGTGTAAAGGGACCCTGCAGCAGCCGCACCGCAGCCCGTGCTGCCAGCCCGGGGCACTGGGCAGCCCCTCGCTCTGCGGGATCCAGGCGAGGACTGCCCTCGGCCCCCGCTCCCAGCCAGAGGCGCCCTGCGAGAGGCAGCAGCGCCCGGTGGGCGCGGGTCTCCAGCCGCGGGCACTGCCCCGGCTGCGAGGGGGAAGACACCGTACAGCCCCCCTCCGCAGGAATCCGCCATGTTAGGGCGGCCGCCGAGCCCCCGCTGCCCGCGGAGCCGGCGGCCCCGCCGCCCTTCCGCGTCCCGAGGACTGCGGGAGAAGGGGACCGGCGGCACCGCCGCAGCGTTCACCCCGGTGCCCGGCCCCCGCTCCCGCCCCGCCGCCGCTCGCACGCAGCGCTGTCCGCCATGTTAGCGCGGCGGCCGCTGACCCTCCGCCCGCCGCCGCCGCCGCCCTCCCGGCTGCGGGGTCCCGCCGCCCGCCCGCTCGGCCCCTGCACTGCGGCCCCGCGCCGCCCGGCGCGCCGGGGCAAAGGGGCAGCTCCGGCTCTGACTCGTTCCGCCGCTCTCCATCTGCCGCTGCCGGTGGCAGCCGGTCTCGCCCCACGCCGCCGGGCGGAGAAAGGGCAGCGGGAGGAACCGGCACCATCCCCAAACCTCCCCGGCCGGCACCGCCACGGTACTGCCCGCCGGCTGCCCCTCCGCCCTTCCCGGCCACCACGACCACCGCTCCCCGTCCCTCCCTGCACTGCCCGAGGCCCCGGGCAGAGGGAAGTCGCTAACGCTACCGCCCGCCGCCGGTGACCACGGACGCTCCGGCCCGGCTCGGAGCTCGGGGTGGGCGTCGGCACGGCTTCCCTCCCTCACTCCCACCACCTCCCCCTCGGGCGGCGAGGGAGCCAGGACTCCCGCTCCGGTACTCACGTGAGATAACGGCCCGAAAGATTTGGTAAATCGTCTTCTCTTTTTAGGCGGAATTTTTAAAGAGGGATGTGGGAACCTACAGCAGAAATACAGGCGGCGGCAGCGGCGCCTTCCAGGGCCATAGGCTGCGGGGGCGGCCGGCGGGGAAAGCGCAGCGCAGCGCTGGGACCGGAGGGCACAGGCGAAGAGAGACAGAGCCGGAGCGGGCCGGGGGCTGCGGCAGCGGCGGGCGGAGACGGGAGCGCGGCCGGTAAGCTGCGACCGAGCGAGCGGAGACACGGGGCGAGAAGAAGGGGAAGGCACCGGCAGCGTTTTTATAAGAGCGGGCGGGCGGGGCGGCACCCGGGCCGCCGTCACCGCACCGGGGGCGGGACTCACCGCCTTCCCCCGCCGCGGCGGCCGGGGCGCGCTGGGCCGGGGCGGTACGACCGGCGTGTGTGCCCGGCCGACCGGCGTGTGTGCCCGGCCGGCCGGCGTGTGTGCCCGGCGGGACCGGCGTGTGTGCCCGGCGGGACCGGCGTGTGTGCCCGGCGGGACCGGCGTGTGTGCCCGGCCGACCGGCGTGTGTGCCCGGCGGGACCGGCGTGTGTGCCCGGCCGACCGGCGTGTGTGCCCGGCGGGCCGCCCGCCCACCCTGGCTGGACCGAGAGTGCTGCAGGAGCGATCAAGTCTTTGGTTAGCTCCTGACACAAGCCGGGGCAGGGACACCGTCAGCATCCCCCCCGGGATCCCGGGCAGGTGGTTACCATACGTGTCTTCACACGGCATCTGGGATCTCTGCTTCTGTCATGGCTTCCACTAACCCGAGACCTATTCTCTGTCTCTACGGCTTTGAGCAGGTGGAAAAAGAGCCCAGGGTTCAACGATCAGCCAGAGGCCTCATTCACAGAGTTAACAACAGCCTGACAGATCGCCCTGATTCCCTGGGCATCGATAAGCTGCTCAGAATGCTCGCCAGAGGAAACGAATTACACTGCGTAGTTAGCAGCCTGTCTCCCAGCAATTTCAGGCCTTCAAGAATCCTGTAAGTAAACACATTAATAGAAAGCTTTAGCTGACCCATATAATTGACATAGAGTTTCACTGAAGCTCTGGAACATCTTCAGCACACCTCAAAACCTTTAGTTCTTTCTTAACGCCCTTATGAGGGAGTGTTGCTCAGCTGCAAATAGGAAAGAGCCACCCAGAGATGAGGTGCCTCAGTTAAAAGTCACAAAACTGTTTCATAGTGGAGCTGTGGATGAACCCTGATCTACCAGCCTGGCTCTGCCATGTCAATTTTACTAAACCGCACAGGGGCTGCTTTTAAAAAAATTCACTCCAGCAATCGCAGTTCTTTCCAGTCACTAAAATATGTAGGTATGCTGTTCACTGAAACCCACCAAAAGATATACTTGCTCCAGAATGTACTTCTTCCTCTCAATGTACATTTATTTTCTTTTTAAAAGGTATGTTAGTACAGTTTGCATTTTTTTTCCAAAGCAAATTTGGGTTTGTTTAGTTGTATAGCACAGAGATTTAGAAAATGAGTGAATAGACACACACCTGTCATATCTTCAGAAAAAAAATGGGACTGAGGTTCCACAGCACACAGAGATGGAGTTTGTTTACTCTTTTCATCTGTTACCATGTTCTCTTTTGCAAATAATTTTAAATGAGGAGGAAGCGAACTGAGAAATATATGCAGTCTCATTATCATGTCTCCTTTTTTGTGATAAAAGTACTAGTAGGTTATAGATGAAGTTAGTAAAAGCAGTAAGTCAGAAAACCTCTTACATACACTTGCAACAAACCCTGTATTGAAGACCAAAAATTCAGCTTTACAGTGTAGAATGCTTTTTTTTTTTTTTCGGGGGTGTTCTGTATTACACCCTTCATCAGTGACTTACTTGTATTCTGAGTTCCCATTCCAGAATGCAAGTGCGGGAGGAGGCATCAGATTATATTAAAAAACAAAACCAAACCAACCAACAAACAGACAAACAAACCAGGAAAAGCTATAGAGAGATAGGAAAAGAAATTTGGGCAGAGCTTGGGTATGATACAGTAATTGTGAATTATTAACAGGCAAAGAAAGGAGGAAGGGATAGAGGGGAGGACAAAGGTTATAAGGTGATATACAGTGATATAAAGTGATATACAGAAGAGCAACCCAGAAATCTGTATTCATTAAGAAGGTAGATTTTTCAAAACACATCTTTGGAAGGGATATAAACTAGGAAAAGGACTTGACTAGTTTGGAGATGTTACTACGTTTTTTATAGATGTTATTAGAGGTCTCCTGTTGGTAATACTCAACGATATCCCAGTGATATATCAGTGATCTCACTGGCATGTTACTCCCACATTCATATTCCCAGGAGAGTTTTTGTTTTGGTAGGTAGGGAATATTTTTAATATTCTTATCGGGAATAAGAAAACAGATGGACTATTTAAGAGGAGTGTGTAGTCACGTAGGACTGGAAAAAGAACTTCAGTTTGATATGCAATTAATTGGGGGATCTATCAACTATTTTAAAAATGCATGGAAGGAGGGAGGGAGGATTTCCTGCTTGCGAAGGAAGCAACACTTGAAAACAGAAACATAAACTTCATTCTCTCAAATCTACTGGAAGAAGAAGAGTGGCACACTATTAGGGAGAGTACAAGACTGAACTGTGTAGTCACTTCATAAAAAATGAGAAAAAAGTCATGGATAAATGCTTTATACAGTGTTGCAGCTACCACAGGTGATATTAATGCAGAACTAGAAAACTGATGTCACAGCTCAATATATATATTTATTTTAGCAGTTCTGTTTTGTCTGGAGAAGCAAAATATAAAAAAAAACTTACATGAAATTTCCTTCTGCCTCATTTCTCTGCACTCAGTTTTAATACTTGTATTCCTAACATTGTGTGGCTCCATATCCGATTTTATAGATTAGTAGAGTAAAACTTTACATTTTCTGCTCCAAAGAGAGAAAGTGAACAAAGCACAAAATGCATCTCCAGCTCTGAGTTCCCTTTACTTCCAACTGTGAGGCACTTCTACCATTTTGGGGTTTTTTTTTGCCTCCACACTTTCTTTTCAGTACGGCTCACAGTTGGATATAGACAAAATCGCAAAATCAGGTGTTATCCCTATGACACAGATAAACTGGAGCAGGAAAGACATCCTTCCCCAGCTCATCTTTTGGAGTGCAAAAAATACTCACTAATGAGGCAACCCAGTGGCCAGGAGTTCCAGACTGGTTTGGACAGATGTCTGAGGGCTGCACAGCCTGATGACCTTCCCTGCTAATCCCAAGTATTTCCTTCTCTTAAGGATGTCTTCCTAACGGCTCTTTTCTCCTCTGGTTCTCCCATTTCCTCTCGCTCTCGGATGCACCCTCTATCGCCACTCATCAGCAGCAGGGTCAGGTTCCACTCCTGCAGTGAGAGAATGAGATTATTTCCTCCTCCATCTCCTCTTCCTCTTCCCCCACTGCTGCCAACTTCTGCAGCGGTCAGTGTTTTTTCTTAAAGCCTCAGGTGCAGGAATTACGTGATTATGCAGGAATTTCATCTTCCATTGAAAAGAAAATGTTCCTAGCTATTGCAAACTCAGTGCAACAGAAGACAAATACAAATAATGATCCACCTTCCAAACTAGGTAAAAGGTTGCTTCAATTTCTGAATGCTTGGACTTGAGAGTCTGTTCCCTGTTCCATCTCCTTTTACATGTACTAGCACTTGGTATAGTTGACACTGGGTATAGTTAAAAATCTGTAGCCATCCAGCTGGAGCACTCAGCTCTTGGGGTGGGAGGAAAGAATTAGTCCAAAGTGCATTTTTGTCTGAGTTGCTCAGGGCAGGAACGCCTGTGCAAAGGGAAGAGGTACAAGAAAAAGAAAAAGAAGTCTGATAGCTCTGGATCCCTCATACCCACAATGACACAGAACTTCAGTAGTCCCTCTTTTTAGTAAAATAACCTGTATAAATAGGACCTTGTAGTAGTAGTATCAATTGATACTCTGATCTTCAGACATGTTTTATGGCTGCATTCTTTGGAGCTATCACTGTTCCAGCCAGTTGACGGAAATGCTCATTACCAGCTGGAAGAAGATTCATAATTATTAAAAGCTCAGAGGTGATGGGAGGAAAGACATCTCTGCCTTAACTCACAGAGACAGTCACCTTTCACTTATATTTACTGACTGTTTTTATGGATCAAGACAACTGGGGCAAAAATAGGGTTCCACCTTTCTGTTTGTTTCAGAAGAGTTTCATTTCTATTGAGTATAGTTACAGAATAGATCTCAAACCAAGTAGTTTACACAAAGTTAATGGAAACATCAGCTCAAAGCACTACATAAAGACATCACAAGTAATTGAAATTAAATTTGGGTTGTTTTACAAAGTCAGAGGAAAAGAGGGAAAGAGCAAAAGAAAAGTCAGTCTCGGTTTAGAAGTATTCAGTGTTTTACCGTAAGTTGATTGCAGTTCAATGCTGGAACAATGTCAGCTCCAAAAAATCTAGACTGGATGGGCAGAAACCAAGAGAAAAGAGCCAGCCAGCAACCAAGTATTACATCACTACTTACTCACTCCCTCACCAGTGGAACTCGGAGAGAATCAGAAGGGTAAAAGCCGGAGAACTCCTGGGTTAAGATAAAGACAGTTTACTAGGTAAAGCAAAACCACTCACACAAGCAAAGCAAAACAACAACAAAAAAATGAATCTCTGCTTCCCAGGGGCAGGCAGGTGTTCAGCCATGTCCAGGACAGCAAGGCTTCATCAGATCTAATAGTTACTTGGGAAAACAAATGCTGTCACTCCGAATGTGCCCCCTCCCTCTTTCTTCCCCCCATTTTTTTTTACTGAGAATGATGTCCTGTGGTCTGGACTATTCCTTTGGTCAGTTTGGATCACCTGTCCTGGCTGTGTCTTCTCTCAATCTCCCGTGCACCCCCAGCCTCCCTGCCAATGTGGCAGCAAGAAAAGCAGAAAAGCCCTTGGCTCTATTGTAAGCACTGCCCAGGAACAACAAAAACATCACAATATTTGAAGCCATGTGTCCAGCAAAAATCCAAATAATAGCCCTGTACCAACCCTGGTGAAGAAAACTAACTCTACCCTGGCCAAAACCAGCACAATCCAGGCTACTAAATGAGAGCTATTTAAGAGAATATTCAGCTATGAGCATTACTTGAGAGTCTAGCCACCTGCATGCCTACTCCACATTAACTGGTAAAGAAAACTTGAAAGTTTTAAGTATCTGCAACATGATATGGACTTTTTACTGTAGGAAATCTGCCAAGTCGAGATCAGGTTAGAAATTACTTGGGTTCATTGGGTTCATTGTGTGATAGATTTTGAGCTGTGCATTAATCACGCTCATTCCAGTTCCTGTTACCCAGGTGCAATGGATCATCACTAATACCTGAAGGGTCAGCTGGAGACCAAAGGTTATGCCTCTGTGGAATTTATCATTTTTCATTGCAAATATCTCAGAATTGGAGAAGTGGCATGGAGTTCCCCTGTGTGGATAAACAGGAGGCACTGGTTCCCAGAAGAGTGGACTGGTCAGCAGCAATAAATCGACTTTAAAACACAACATCCAAACACTAAAGCAGGATGAAGTGGTCTGTGTACCATGCAAGGAGGTCAAAAGTATGCATATCATGTGCTGTGACTGATGTTTACTGAATGGGGAAATTCTTATTAACTTTTTTTGGAATGAATACTCTCTCTGTTGTCATTGGTTGCATTTGCAAGAAGTTTTTGTTCCCAGATGTTTATTCTCAGCCCTGTACTTCTTGAATAAGTAGTCTTCCGCAAATGTGATCCTAGCTTTATGCAATGATTAAGTGTTTTTTCAGGCTGCTTGTTTTGCTAGTTGTTCTTGACAGTCACGTTTCAGCTTTCTGAGCATGCACATGTTTGTCTCATGATTTCTAGTAACAGCATACCCTGATAGCTTTCAGGTTTGCTGAGCTTCCCCAGGCTGCTAGGGCATTTTGTCAAGAGTGAAGACTCACAGTCTTCAAAAGAAAGACTTCCAGCTAACTCCTGGAGAAGTACTTTCTACTTGTCAATGTCTTTCATCACCCTCCCAGCTCTGAGAGGTGGTGATGATCTGCCCCTTGTTATCCAAGAGCAGCAAGAAGGGAAGTGGTCTCTTGAGATTGCAGTCCAGTGCCATTGGAGATGCCTCCAAATGTGTGCCTGCATTTTCTCTCACTGACAATGTTGTCTCACACATTTTGGGGTTGAGAGAACCACAAGTCAAGGCTGAGGCCTTTCCTAGTAGCATGAAAGGAGCAGGATTCTTACACAAAACTCTAGTGAACTCCTTTGCTACTTTAAAAGCAAGTAACAACACATTTGAAAAGCAAAATTGATCCATTTAATGTAAGTCCTGCAAATCTTGTTTACTTTGCTTGCATGCTTTGAGTTTTTGTTAGCAGGAAGAAGATGAGCAGCATGTAGAACTATTCACTTCCCTCTGCATTTGAATTTTCTGTAACATATACACTTTTCCCTTAGAAATTGAAGGCTTAAAAAAATTATTATTTTTTCTTCCATATAAAAAACCAGAAAAACCACAGATGATAGGTTGGCAATAGTGACCAGCATGAAATGGTTACCTCTTTAACACAGTTCAGAGATAACAGAAGGATCTGTCACATCTGTGTCACCTACATACAGGAAGGACAGGGTGTTGTCATGTCCATTTGGTTGTCAGAGTACTGCAGGAATGATGCTGCTGGTACTTAGGGTCTTCAAACAAGTTGTTTGTCAACATGCTTTTGAGTCCCTAATTGTACTCAACCAAATTTGATCTTCACCTCAAGAAATTGTGTCCGTGTACCTTCTACTCTTTCTGTCCAAGTCCTGGGCCTTAATGCTTAGATTTGTAGTTTGCAATTTGTTTTCTCAGCCTCAGTCTTTTTGTAATCCTCAAAAACAAGGATCACAACAAGAAAGGAAACCCCTTTTTAATTTTATTGCCATTAAGATCCCTGATCTTGTTTAGGACTCCTTGGCTCAAAAATGTGGAAATATGTCCTGGCTCAGATACATTGTTGGAGGTGAAACAGTACCTATGGATATCATCTGCTCAGGATACTGTGTCAGTGCTATCCCCTGGCTTTGCTATTTCCAGCCAGATTTGCAGAAGCAACAGGAAAGTTAGCAAAGCAAGGCAAACAGTGCTGGGTTATTTTTGCTACATTCAGTTTCCTTGCAGCTGGTCAAATTACTCAGTGCCTTCCAAATCTGACCAGATAGAAATGCAAGTGAAAACTTGAAGTGAGCACCAGACAAGCTTGGGACAGTGTCTTGTGTTTGATGCCCTCTGTCCTGCCATGTTTCATAAGCAAGAGTGAGCAGCCTTTTGTGCACACTCACACCAGAAGATGTAAATGCAAAGCCAGAAGTTCTCACCTATTTTTAACATCTCCCAAACCCCAGGGCAAGACCCAAGGAGGATATTGTACAGGACAATGGGGTAATGCCAGCCAGGAAGCCCCCTGCTGTAGCCAGGGCCCCACTGGGTGGCTGCAGAGCAGGAAGACCAAAGGGCACATAGCTGCTGAGCTGAGCTGAGCTGAACTTTCAGCGCTGACCAGTCCTCAGGGGTCCTGGTCCTCTCCCTGCCATAGTGTTCTGCCATGTCTCTGTTGTTTACCTCCCTGCAGAGAGCTCCCAGGCCAAGGGACAGCCCCTGCAAGCTCAGCTGCTGCAAGGAGCAGGAGATGGTCCGATTTAAGGAGCTATTACTGGTACCAGTGGCTGCTTCCTGCATACTTAACTCTGCATCTGCTCATGAAAAATACCATCTAAACTGGACTTGGGTCATTAGCTTTGCCTGGTGCTCTTACACTGGGATTTGCTTCTTTTTATTAGATACAGCTTTCCAAAGGGACAGATACTTGCTGTTCCATCTTGAAATTAAAACAAACAAACAAAGCCACCATCAACTTTCTTGTAATGTATAATATTCCTGCATGATTTAGAATTTGTTTCCTCTCTTTTCTCCTGATGGGAAATGAGGGGCAGGGACCCAGCACATCATCTGGGAAACTGCTGTAGTCCCATGGCTGAACTGGATCGTCAGCTCAGTTGCTACAGGAGCTGGAAGGAGAGATGGCTGCACCCATGTCATCCATCATGGGAAAAAATGCCCAAAGCAGTGTGTATTTAAGGTTACCATCTCCCAGGTGGCCCTTTACTTAGAACATCCCAATATGTTGTTAGTTATGGAGCAGGGCTTTGGGCTTAGGTTTGTTGTGATATACCAAAGGCATCTTACCATTTTCTGTGATAGCAGCGGAGTTAAATAAATGATTATAATAATAACTACAGAGTGTGTTCCTGAGGTTTTACTACATGTAAACACAATCATAAGTGTAATCAATGTCAATGACTTCCATTTAATTCTCAGACAAAGTTTGCTTTTAAATATCACACCAGATTTGACACGGTTAATGATAAATGGAATGCAATTAGTTCTACTATTTGCTTTGATGATATGCTAAATTATGTCTTACAACAGACCATTTATTATCCAAACCTAATGGTTATACTCTTGCATTTAACAAATCTAATGTATATTAAACTGTAGCAAACGGATAAGTTTCAAAATTAGATACTAAAGGCTAGAAAAAAGTTATTCTATGAATGAGTTTCATTTAATAAATCCTTGCCATTGCTCAAGTTACAAAACCTTAAATTGGAAGAGTTCTATATATATTTCTCAAAATTGCACAAATAAAAAAATAATTATGCTGCCTCTTAGTGATTTGCAGTCACTTAATGGATATTTAATCTTAAGGAAAATATTAAAATTTAAATGTTCTTATGGCATTTTTAACATAATGCATCTTCTAATTGTTAACAAGAAAATTATTACTTTTTTTTCCCTCCAGAAATTTATCATGAGCTTACCATGATAATTGAAAAATTAACAAAGAGAGTGTAGTACTTCAGAAGACAAAAGTAATTTCCTAATTTTTCACTACGCGTTGGTTTTGCATGGCCTGGTTTTTGGTAGCAGGGGGACCACAGAGATGGCTTTTTTGAGAAGATGCTGGAAGCTTCCACCATGTCCAGCAGAGCCAATCCCTGATGGCTCTGAAGATGGTCATGTGCTGGCTGAGGCTGGGCCAAGTAGAGATGATGGTAACTCCTCTGTGATAATAGATTTAAGAAGAAATCCAAACAAAGGTGTGAGGTGCACTTCTAATTCCAGCCAGAGAAGGGGAGGAGGTGAGAACATGTGAGAGAAACAACATGGAGACCCTGAGGTCAGTGGAGAAAGAGTGGGAGGAGGTGCTTCAGGTGCCAGAGCTGAGATTCCTCTGCAGTCCATGGTGATAACCATGGTGAAGCAGCTGTGCCCCTGCAGCTCGTGGGTATCCACAAGGGATGCAGAGATCCACCCGCAGCTCCTGGGGGAGGTGCCAGAGCAGGTGGATGCCTGATGCACTTCTGCCTGTGATCCAATGGGACACCCAGAGACAGAGGGCACTTGCTTCCATGTTGGAGCAGCCTGTCATTGGAGGACTGCACCCCAAAGAAGAGTGACCAACACCATAGAAATTTTGGGAGGACTATGTGTGGGAAATTGGGACTCATGTTGCAGCAGTTTTGGAAGGACTGCGGTTCATGAGAGTGGATCCACGTTGGAGAGGTTCACAGAGAACTGTCTCCTGTGGAAAGAGCCCCCATGGTCTCACAGGGGAACAACTTGTCTCCCTGAGGAGTGGAAGAAAACCTCAGGTGATGAACTGATTAAAACCCCCACGCCCTGTCTCCCTGCACCATCGATGGGAAGGAGGGAGGTGTTGGGGGAAGAAAAGGTGTTTTTAAGGGCATGTTTTACTTGTCATTATCCTCCTCTGATTTTGTTAGTAATAAACTCAGGCTGTATCTCTATGGTGAGCCTGTTTTGCTCTTGGTGTGTTTTCTCCTGGTCCTTATCTCAACTCATGAACCCTCTGTTAAATTTTCCTCTCCTCTGTCCAGCTGTAGCAGGGGAGGGTGAGTGAGCAGCTTTCATGGGTGCCTGGCATTTGGCCAGTGTCAAACCATGGCACACTTATATCCAAATTTTCTCCTATCATCAAAAGGCAAGTCTGTCCCATCTTGATTTATATTATTCAAAGTTTAAAAAAAAATGCAGGCAGCAAATTCTCATTGTTTTTAGAGAAAACACTTCTATAACATGAGAGGTTACAGAAATGGACAATTAATTCCTATTTCTGTGGTTTCCTTAATAACAGCAAGCCAGGCCTACACCAAGTTGCTCTGCCCCCGTCCCTCTGCACACACTTGTCTGCCCCCTCCAAAACACCTCCTGCTCTCCCTGTTCTTCCTCCCTTCCTTTCACCCACACCTGACTGCAGCCCCTCCAGGCACATCCCTAAATCTTACACTCTTCTGCTATTTCCTTAATGTTCTTCCTTCGATTTATCTAATTCCTCAGAGATTTTTCTCACTCTAGTACCTTCTCCCATTTTCTGAGCTGCATGTCTTCTTGCTTCTTGTGTGCAGGGGTTATTCTTCTCAACAGTTCAATCCCCCTGAAGATAATAGGAAGAGTTGACACTGGGGATGAAGGGAAACTTAGAAAATATACCAATGTTTCATGATGAACACTTAAAAACATCACAAATATCATACTAGTCTCAGTAAAATCTTAAGAATTAGCAACCATGGATTGCCCATTCTGCCAAGGATTACATAGAAATGAAAAAGGGCATCTTGGCATTTTTCCTTAGAAGAAAAAAGAAGTGCCCTAGATATTCAAATCATCCTTCCAATTTTTTGTCCATACAATGTCTTCATAAATCTGTTAATCCTGAATAAAAACAGTTGCAACAGGGAGATTTGACTTGGGAAATTCCACTTGCAGGACTACAGCTGATACACTACTGTGTTTGGTAGCCTTTACTTTAAGGCTCTGCCTCATTATTTTCTCTGTAAACTGTCTGGTCTCTAAATTCTGATCAAAAGTATATTCCCATCATCCATATGACATCCTGTCTCCTGCCAACATTTTGCCTGGGATAACATTTCCCTTGAGGATCTCCGTCTAGATAAAAGAGACCTCCACAAATTTGGCATGACTGGCCCAGGGCTGCCTGAAGCTGCAAACTCTGTTTACCTCTACATTCCACAGTATGTATTCATTGCCCCCACATTTATCTTAGCAAGATTCATAAAGATTTTTGACAGATGATACGTACCTTCTAAACTTTGGTTTTCCAACAGGAATAGCAGAAAGTGGCAGAGAGCTGCTTCTATTTCAGTTTGAGGAAAGCTGCAGACAGTGATAGTAGCAGTACATCATTGCAGCAAAGGCAGTCCATCATACTTGCTATGCCTTCCACTCAGCTCTGGTCAGATACAGCTCTGTGATTTTAGCACTACAAAGTCTCTGCATTTTTCTAGAGTAGCACCCATCTTTTTCTAGGGAATCATATTAAAATGACCACCTGTAGAAGGTTTTGTCTTCAGTTTTTGTCTTCACCTTTTTCTTCCAAGTAAAAAGGATTTATTTAGCAAATAGAGTCCTCTTCTTTGGGGAGTGGGCACTGAGTAAATACATTCTGCTTATAATTTCTTTTCTGCAGCTGAGTGGCTGCTTGCACTGAGATGAGGTATCAGCAGGAGCTCAGTAATCATCTGCTCTGTCTAGCCAAACAGCACTGGCTTGAAGACAGCATACACTGTCTTCTCCCTGCCCAGTCTTTGGCAGGCTACTGGGGGCAAAGGGCGTTAGGAGATATGGAGGGCACCCGGGGCTGTGGAGGAGGAGGGAGACAAGGATGAGATGAGGTGAGATAGGATTTCTGCACAAATCATGGGAAGCAGAAAGGGTTACTGCTGGTGTCCATGGGGCAAATTGTCTCCTCCTATGACACCTTAGATGAGTTTCCATGGGACAATGACACCACAAAGCCATGAAGTTCATGTACCAGTACCACGCACCAGAGCCCCATAGGGGAGATATAAATCATGTGTTCGCATGGCATGCTTAATGACCCCATGAGTGAAGTATAAAATAAAGGTAATAATAAAGAGCTGCAGTGAAATCCCTCAGGGCACTGATGAGACAGCAGGCAGCTCTGCTTCCTGCAAGACGGGTGCTGATTTCCTCTGATGGCAGACCAAGCTGTCACTGCGGCTGCTTGCTTTAGCACAGGATGCCAGCTGCATGATACCATTAGCATTCCTCATCAGCCACGGCTTATGTCTCTCTGTGCACAGTGTTGGAAAACCAGGTCATTCTCTTGGCTCGTCCTCCTCTGATAACTCCTCTTTTCTTTCACTGCTGGGAAGCGGAGGATGGTGTAATTAGTTTTCACTAATGTTCAGCTCTACATGGAACTGCTTTTGTGCCAAGCCAGAATGAAGTTTTCACATAGTTTGCATGCCCTAAGAGGATGAAAACTGGAGACAAATTTGGGAGGCACCTATTTTCCTTGTATCAGAATGATTAAGCTGATATTTTTCAAAATACCACAGAGAATACAAATGACATGTTAAACTTCCAGTACTCATGAACTGAGTGTGATTCCAATGAAAATACAAAGTTAAATACTTACCCATGCCAGATAACAACTGGTACTGCATGGCTATCATAGCAAGCAATCTGAAATCATGCCCTTAAGTAGAAAACTGCCCAAAGTACTATTTAAGTGCTTGGGGTTTATAGGCAGATCAGAGACCTGATATTCCAAAGAAGCTGCAGGGGAAGATAAAAATGAAAAATTCAATCCAAACCTCAGATAAGAAGTTCAGGTTTTCTTAATAATATAGTGGAAGTGATGACTTCTAAACCTATGAGGAATAAATTTTGAAAGGCTTTTATAGGGCATGATACAGACAGATAAAACAACAAACTTTATTAAAGGGTAAGTGATTTTGGGCTGTGGGTTAATTCATAAACATAAATGCCCACAAAGAATTAACTGGCTGGTACAGTGAGGCTTATATACTGGTAGAGTAACTGTATCAGTAATTAAAGCTGCATTAATGTGCTTGACTGATGCTCTGAAAATGTCACTGTAATGGCAGTCACAGCACCAACTGAAGCAACTAAGCTGTGAGATGAGGAGCTGCTAGTTACAGAGGCTCCTTGTCAGGAATATGCTTGAAGGTTGATATGTTGGTACACTATAAGAAATAACATTATTTAAATAGTAATACATCCCCATCTCCCAGTGTTTAGTATCCACTGCAGTAACTGCAAAATCAGCCAAATTATATGCAGTATTTTAGGGGAGAAAATATGAAGCAGAAAATGCCTTAGCATTTATTTTATTTTATTTATTTTAGCATTCATATCCTCTCATCACCAGGGAGACTCTTTGGGAAGAAGTACACCAAGTTTCAATCCAATACATTGTATTTTGGGAGTCTGAGAAAGATCAAAGTCAACCTGAAATTACAGTTGGATGTGATGACACTAGAAACATTTAAATTTCTCTTTGTCAATGATTTAAGTTAAGAAGCCCTAAACATGGGATATAAGCTGTCCAGACCTCTGAAAACACAGATCTGTCCCTTCAGCTAGGTGAGAATTACAGCTCACTGGGAGAAAAATATCAGCCAGGAAAGTTTGCAAATACACTTAGTGGGAATACCTGTGATCCTAAAGTAAAAGAAACATTAAAAAAAAAAAAAATCATACTCAGGCATAGGTGATCCTAGTTACCCAAATTCAGCAGAGTAATTTTACAGAAGCTTTAGACAGGATAAAATAGGATTTGGTCCAGAAGGCCACACATCCCTTAAACTTGGCATAAAAACTGCAGATATAATAGTAGCTCAACGTCAATCTATGCTTCAGATATGTGGTCTTAGTTACAGATACATTTGTCTTATTTTTCAGCTTCATGTCTTGCAAGCCATCAGGTTTCAAATTAATCCCAAAGAAATAACTCATTTTGGTAAGTTCAGTGACCTATTACCTGTTTCCTGAAATTATTTGTTTAATAAAAGCTACTTAATTGTTACCCACAATCCGTACCAGCGTGATAATCAATATAATCTCAATCCTCTATGTTGTGTGAAAACAATACTTTGGTTCACGATAGGGTAATCACAATTTCATACATATACAAGACCCATACTAAGGACTTAATGGCTACAATGATGCACAAAGAATTGACTCAAAGAACCCCTGAACAAGAATCCTTCCTTGAATTTTTTTCCAGGTTTGAGCCTAGAATGTCAATTGTGCTTAAAATGTAATTTGCAGCAATGAGCATTTTACCATGACTGGGCTTTTCTTATGCATTGCAAAAAGTGAGATAAAGGAGCTTCTCTGACACTGTTAGGTCCAGATTCATGTAGTCTACATGCTTTGGTGATGTTTAGACTATGGAAATAGATGGACAGCATAAGTGATGGTCTTTTGTAATGCAGCTACTGAAATGTTAGGAAGAAACCTAAACCTTGCAGTTGCTTTCTCCCATGCATAAAACAGTGCCTCTTTCATTACTAGAGGTGCAGAGTTCTGTACCCTCTAGTTAGACCTTGCAGTAAAAAGAATCACTCTGCTTTAGAAATTAACTCTGGAAATCAAAAAGTACAAGCAGCCACTTTTTTTTTTTTTAATATTTTAATACATATCTTCAGGGAGTGGGAGGAGAGAAAAAGAGATTTCCAAGTTCACAATATATTAGAATAAATGCCCTTCTAAAAACATTCCATAAGATAGTGTAATAGCTCTGGTTTGATTCATTTATGACTAAGGATTTCCTTTACAGATGGAGGGACACCTCTTCCTGCTGCCAGCCCTTGGCCTGCTGCTGCTCCTGGCACATTGTGTTCATCCAGCAAATGGCAGCTCACATCCAGGCTGTAGCAGGCCATTGATCAGTTACTAACACTTTTAGCTCAGTAAGACTTATATGGCAGGATAAAGTGAC